CCCCAATCAAAACACGCCACGGAGAGAAAGCAGGACTGGATGTGGTGTGCGTGTAGCAGGAAAAGGGAACCAGGCTAAATAAAAATTTGTAGGAAATTTTGAAATTTAAAGCAAAAAATTCTGTCCATTTCCCCCAATTTTCCATGAGAAGAGAAAGCGGGGCTGGATGTGGTGTGGTGTGCGTGTATGTAACAGGAAGAGGGAACCAGTAACCACCCACCTACCAGAAACCGCCGACAATAACAACCTTATCAGAAATCAGCCCACACATCGCCTCCACATGAAATGAACATCATTGCAATCACACACAATCGCATCGCTTTTGGATATCTCCCTTCCCATCCGAACCTCGAGATCTCCCAAAACCAAATGCTACACCAAATTGAACCAGACAAGAAAATTCACCACACCACGGCGAGATTGATTTCAGCCACGGAATCCCATTTTACATTGTTCACAGCGGAAATTGATTTACTCTCGGCATTGTGCGGACCACAATAATATCGAGATATTTGAAATAAATAATAATAAAAAAAGTGAAAATCTCTCAAAGAATTTGCCACGTTGTAGTTATTTTTTGTGGGTATTGTTTAATAACAAACTTGTATCAGAACGTGGGGTATGAAACGCACCCACTCATTTTTTCACTGACAATGGAGGTCTCCCAGCGTACGCTGTCGGATTTTGACCAAATTCGTGTCAACCGATCACAAATTTAAGTAATATGAGTCATATTATGTGACATTTTTAAAAGACACGATTTCCCAATGCACAGGTTTGGCAAAGATATTTGCAACCAAAGAGGAGAAAAGGCGTCTTGACAAATTTTATACTTTCCAAATTTTTATGCTCGCTTTCTCCTCTTTGATGCAAATATCTCCGCCAAACCTGAGCATTGGAAGATCGTGCCTTTTGCAAATTTCATACTAATTAAACTTGTGATCTATTTACACTAATTTGCCCAAAATCTGCAAGCATACACTGGAAGACCTCCATTCCCAGTTTTCCTTTGACTTTCTTTTGCCTAAAAAAAGAACCAGTAGCAGTCGATACTTTCCACACGCAATTATTACCTCAAAACGTCTCATGATGACGACGTGATTACATTATTCATACTGCTCACTCACTCACCCACACACTCACATCTCTCCATATTGATTTAATATCTCTTTACCAACTTTAGTCTAAAAGTAGGAGAAAAATTCTAATAAAATTTCTCGTTTTTTTCTTCTTCTTCCTCTTCTTCTTACAGAATCTTCAAACCAAAGCTAAGAGCGGATGACGAAAGAATTTAATGGCTTTTATTATTACGAGGACGCTTTATCTGCTGCCTCTGCCTAGATTTCTTTTAAGATCATGTAACCGAGACGGAAGCGATAAGACGGGGAAGAAGAAGGTTGAGATTTTTTTGGAGAGACTGCAACTAACTGCATACGACGAGGAGGAGGAGGAGGAGGAGAAGAGGCCTGGGAACAGAAATTCTTACTTCTGCTGATAACTTGTAAAAGTCTAGTTGGTGATTTCTAATGGGTTCTCTCAAATTCCAGCTCTTATTCTTATTCGGAAGAAAGATAACTTGCGAGGAGTGTATGTATGTAAGCCTGGGACAACTTTTATGGAGAGTCAATCCACCATCGCGACCACTTAGGCTTATCCGTCCGTCTCCATCAAACCCTAATAGTTTGTGAGTAATGTAATATAACAAAACCTGGTCTGGTCTGGTTGGTGGCCTCTCTTTTTCGGGACAAGTCAAGTCAAGTGACGACTTTTTAGACCCTAAAAGGGTCACCTTCTCACCCAATCTGCGATGATAAATAATGGTGACTGAGTGACATTATTGGGATCCATTCCCAATTGTGTGTGCCGTGTCCCCCAGATGATCGTCAACTGTTTTTGTTTGGCTCTTTCTTTGTTAAAAAATGAGGGGAGAGAGAGAGGCCCTTCTTCTTTTTTCCGTATCGATATCATCATCACCACACGTTAAAAACGCAATGTTTATTTATTTGCACGACTCCGACACAACAAAAACGCAAAAGTTGACAAATTCTTTATACGGAAAAAAGCTGACAAAGGGGGGGAACGGGGTGTTTGTTGCTTCTGGTAAAAAGTTGGCCATCGCTCTCACCCACGGTGCAGTAGGCAGCAGTATCAGATCAGTTTTTTCTGGTGAGTATTATGAGAGGAGCAGCAGCATAAGCGATGATAAATTGCCAAAGAACTTCCGTTCCTTCATCTTCTTCTTCTTGAAGAAAAAGAAAAAACAAGGAAAAGCTGGTTTCGCCACAACAGGGAAAAATTGTCCTCGTCGACTTCTCTACGTATGTTCTCCTCGCATAAGAAGTGACAGTCACACCACCACCAAAAGAACGAAGGAGCACCCCGTGTAGACAAAAAACTTGATATTTCGGGTAAAATTGAAAAGTTTAGTTTAGTATTACTTGGCCCACTCATCATTAAAAAACTTTTCCGCCCTGTTAAATATTTATTTCATGCAAACAACCTGCCTGCTCTTCTCCCGTTCTTCTGCAAGCTTCCCGTATGGGAATTGGAATCCAGTGATATTGAGACTATGTAACTGCACAAGACTGCATATTATTAAGTCTCTGCCCGTGCTGGGTATTTTCCCATTAAAGTTATTACCATTCTTGAAAAAAAATTAAGTCTCCAAAGGGTCTCCCTCTCCTACTCCTTGCTTGCATTTCTCAAAGAGAAAAACACTCGGCTGTTTAAAATTGGAATTATCTCGGGGGCATTACCATACCCAAAGCTGCCACCTTGTTTTTTTCTGTTTTCTTAAACTCGACTTCTGTCCCGTGAACGTAAACTAGGTCCGAATAAGAAATCCTCCTCTATCCCTCTTCACGGAACGTTGAAAAGGATTTAAAAACAATTCCATCCACATTTATTTCAGAATCAGAGCTGTGTCTCAAAAAGAAAAAAATGTAATGCACACAGGGCACTAAACGGGATCAAAGGAATTTAGCTAAACGACGACGACGGCGATCAGGTGTAGGTTTAAGAGCACACAAAACAGTATTAGTATCTCTCCTCAAGTTATGCAAGGTATTATTCCCACTTAAAGTAGGAACTACATTTACATCACATTATTATTATTATTATTACCCTTTCTTTCTTTCTTTTTAGACAAGTTCAAATTATTTGCATCCGTCATCCATTAACTGCGGAACACAACACAGTCATAAATAGTGGGACGTTGAAGATATGAACACGTCGCTATTCGTTCGTACGTACGGTTCCGGTACTTTACTAAAAGAAAGAAGAAAAAAAACCCGTCCGCCGGCAAAACCTTTGAAAGGATGGAATTCCTTCGCATAGAACATTCTCATTAAATGGTTTTAAACGAGGATATGTTTGCCATACGTACGTACGTAAATGGAGTTAAAATAAAACGGCGCACTTACTTTGAAAAGAGTCGTCAACTCGACATAAATAAATTCATTACGGGTTCATTTCACTCCGAGGAAATTGCAAGTTTATGCAGAAAATGCAGTCCGAGTGATTGAGTGAGTCGAGTTTTAGCCGCAATAACGAACGAGAGAGGGTTGAGAATTTAAAGGAATGAAATGACCATAAATGAATGCAGACCGGAACAGAGGAGGATCAAGTTCTGCGTAGCTCAACAACACAAAGGAATGCAGGAGTCAGGAGTATTTTTAATAGCTTCGTCATAATGGATGGTATGGTACCACTGAATCTGCACCAGGGACGAATAGTTTTGGTGGTTTGCTGCTCATCCATGAAATGAAACATCCATAATTATCTGCGGAATCATAATCATCCACTCTCTCTCGCTGGCTGGCCTATGGCTGAGTCATGAGACGATGCCCGAAAAATAGGCTCGCTCTTGGTCGACGAGTCACTTTTAATTGACTCAATCTCACCCTGTTTACGCATACTTTGAGCATTCATCATCCCATAATTACTCGAGTTGGGGACATATTGCGGTCGTCTTTGTGATCTGATCTCTTAATGGGTGTCTGGATCTTTTGGGGTCGTTGTCGATGTTGTCTTGGAGGAGGAAGTTGCCCCCACTCAACCTTTATCACGTTACGAAGAGTGTAATAAAACTCAAAGTTCTTGTAACATAGTTTGTGGCGTAAGTGAAATAAGTGGCAGGTAGGAGAGGCATATAATAGGGCGGAGAGGAAGGTAAAAGCCCTTTGGGCATTCAGCAGCACACAACAAAGTTGGTCGTCTTTGGTGAAGGAGAGAGCAAGATGGTGGATGGATTTGATGAACGAACGAACGGACCAAGAAGGATGAGGTGCTAAGTTAGAAAAGAGCCAGCTAAAAAGCTATCCTTTCGCTATTTCATGTCGTTGAAAAAACCAAAACCAAACGCACAGCCCTCAAATCGAGGAGAATGTAAAAGGTGGAAGGATGGAATGAACAACCTGTATTTTTGAGGAGTGTGTGTGTATCTCTATGTACGTATTTACAAGTAGTCTTCTAAAGTTCGAACGAGACATAACTATGACCAAATTATCCTTCTTTTTTATTATTCAAGCAAAATTTCATATTATGAACGAACGAACTGGTTGCTATACGAAATAAGTGTGTCTCTCTCTCTCTCTTCTATAATTCTTTATATCTTTCGCTCTGTGCCAACTGTGCTCTCAAGGAACTTTTTACCCTTTTTAATAATAATGACTACATACTCGTGAGCATGTATGTACGTATAAAATATCTGAAAGTTGTTGTTCTCTCGTGTATGTATATCTTCTCGCGTCCAATTTCTTTTATCAAGGAGGATTCGAATTTGACCATATTCGACAAAATATGAATTCAGACATTATGTATATTCGTCCTCCATGTCGTTATCATAAATAAAATGGAATAGTCAAATTTCTCTCATGAATTCGCCCATGTAACGTAAATAAACAATATTTAATCGAGTCCAAGAAGACGAAGGTTTGATTAAATAGTAATAATTTCACTAAATTTTTTGAGTTTAATTTAAGAAAATTATGTATTCTTACCTTCAAATTCATTCTCTCTTGCTGCGTCTACTCTCATCCATTTTGGTGTTGATATCCATCCATTCAATTGCGACTATTCCGGGCCAAAATTCCTGCCCGTGTGACGTGTATGTGTGTGGGGTATATATCCTAATTTAATAATTTACTACTAATCACCACAAGTATTTATTTACTAGGACCAATTCCAAAATTAGAGATCGAGCACATCCGCACCACATCCACTCCACTAACGCTTCCCTTGTCGGATATTGGGCTCGATTCCTCCTCCGCACAATAATAATAATAATAATAACGAGATTAAATTTCAACTCGACGGATTTCACAGAATTTGGAGCAGCACAGGAAACACAATAATAACACTCGACGAGAAACCATGCCACGACCACTTGATAAATAACTGCCTCTCGCTGTAGATTCTGGATGATTATATTTTACTACGATATTTCGGGGATCTCGCTTTTCCGGGGATTTGCATAAGACACGCAATTTGTATGCTTTCAATCAATTCGCGAACTAGTCGTAATGGTTTTGGCTTTGTGTCATGATACGAAATGTGTACGTATGTACAGAGGACGGGAAGAGATAATCCTCGTTGGGGTGGATCAAATTAGCTAAATTCACGGTGGGAGGAGTGATTGACGGTTACTTGACACACACAAGAACCACCAGCACCACGACTACTACTGCGGGACAATATTGTTCTGATGAGATGATCCACTTCGTCACACACACATTGAGACAGACACACGTATCGTATCGTAATCGTAAATAGAACAACTTTCCGGGAGAGATTTACCCGTGGAAAAGTTGTGCCGAGACAAATTGGTTTTTCTTCACCGGTGATGAGGTGAAAAAGTAGTTGGATAAAGGCAAGAAAAGACTATTAGTTTGGAGATTTCTTGTCTCTCAGGTCCAGCGAGTGAGTGAGTGAGTGAGTGAGTTCAGAAATAAATGGCGAGGAGAGAGAGGAACATGAGATCCAATCCGCCCGAATTGCCGATTAATCACAACTTTTCTCCCGTCTTGTTGTAACTCTGTCATGCAAAATATGTCTGGTTTTGGTTTCCGAAGTGATGGCACAACTCAATTTCGGTTCTCTGAGAAGCAACCTAACTAAACTCGGGAACATTTATCTCCTTCCAAAAAGTCGTCCAAAAGGTTTACGTTTTATTTAGTACACGCCGCGCCTCGCCAATTGAACAGAGAACAGAGAACAGAGAACACTATTATGCACCACCGTCGACGTCGTCACAGGATTGATAAGAAGCAAGGACCAAGTCATCTTCTTCTTTTCCTCCTTCAATCCGACCGAATTTGGGAGTAATCGGCTTAAAACTTGGCTAACTCTTATTAACCGGAGTCACTTTTGTGCAGAACTGGGACGACGATACTAAATTTCTAGATAGAAAATCTTCTTCTTTCTTTTCCCTAATCAATTTCCGTTTCCTGGATAAAAAACTTGGGAGTCAGTCACACCCTTGGTTAGTTAACTGTTATGAATGACGACTTCTTAGCACTAAATACATGTATAGTTAAGTTATAACTGGTTAATCTCTTCCGAGTTGCACTTTTCTTCGTCTTCTTATTAAGTAGAATTACGAAATGAGACCAATTTCCTCACAAATTTTTGTAAAGACGAACTATCTCGGGTAAAAGGAGCGAGGTCCATTACAGCCTTTTTCGTTGCCTTACTGGACTCAAGTCCTTCGCTTTTTCCACTGGTGGTGGCGTAATGGAGGAAGAAATTGTATTATTATTTCGTGAAAAAGGACCAACCTCTCTCTCCTCTCGTGGTAAAGTAAAGTTTAGTATAATAAAATCCTCAACGTTGCTGGGTACGTACGCAAACGACCAAGAAGTGCACAAGATGTTGAAAGAAAAGGTATTCCTTTTTACTGTGGCCTAACCAAAAAGGTATTATATTCGAGCAGATAGGATACATACATACACGAATATTTAACAACGACGACTTTAATGCACTCTTGTACCACCACCAAGAAAATTCATTCTCAGCAAGAAATATTAAAGAAAGACAAGCTGGTCTGGTTTTTACTTTACTTTATGTTGCGTTATAACATAACATAACGACGACGACGACGACCAACTAACCAAGCTAAGCAAACTAAGGGTTGACTTTGACTTGGAAAACTTTTTGGTATGTGGACGATGTATTCCATTCCATACGTTATGTTGGAAGGGATGATGTGATGATCACCATTTCGACTTTAACTTCATGAGCGTGCATGGTTTGGTAGTGGTGGTGCTAGTTTCATTACTGTTTGGTATACCAAAGGCTAACTTGGAGCAAGCATTATTATTATATAAGAGCGGAATCATTATTATTATCAAGCTGACTGAGAGAGAGGGATGCTTGGCGTTTAAAGCTTTATACTGCTGACATTTTTATAACAGGAGATCCCTCCTGTTTTTCTATGTACGTTTAGATGCCAGCCAGGGAAATGCATATCCACTTTTTGAAATGTGGTACACGAGGATGGGGTTGTTTCGCTCCTGGCGTGGCAAGCAGGGAGTTTTAGAAGTGGAGGCCTCCGGTGCACATTTGAAAACTGCATCCGACCCATGAAACGCAGGAGGAAGGATAAAGGATACAGCATTTTGCTCGGAACAACAACAAGAGTAAAGTATGGGGGATGTTGGGATGGATGGATGGAAAATTAAGTGAATTTAAGGCACTGTAGGGTCGTCCCTTCATAATAACATAGCAAATGGTGAACCTATACTTTGGGAAAATGTGGACCAAATACAATGGACCCAACTGCACAATGAGGCCAACACGAATTCTTGTTCCCCTCTCTTCTTGCTTATGCTGGGCACAAAGCACTTCAACTTTTAAAATGTCTCAGTCTGACTTTTGTATACGGAGAACAATACGGACCAGTCAAGTCGGGGTAGTGTCTGTACATATGCGGATGGACGTTATATAAGTTATTTTGTACAGCTCTATTTCCTGCCACTTCCACCCGATCCATCAATACCTCATCCCTGTGGATTGAATTGTGGATGGATGGTGGAGAGATGGATGGGATGCATATTCTCGTGGTTCGTCCGATTTTACTGGAAAAATGCGAAGGTAGGTTTTTCAAAGAGGAATCGAATCCATCCATCCATTCGTCTCCTGCTTCTTTGAAACGCCACAATGGGAATGGCTCCTATTTACGATAAATAAAGTGCAGTAAAATCCACATCAACATTGGGAAAAATGTAACAATAAGTATGCCCAAGTGCTTATGCAGCAGTCGGTCTTCTTCTTCTTCTTCTTCCACCACTTTGGGATAAGCTGATGATTGCGCTATCTAATCCCTAGTTTCTTTCGAGATTCGAATTCCTAGATTCCAATTTTACTCGGCCCAACCAGTACTTTTTGGATGTACGTACGCACCACTAATAATACCAATAATAGTAATAATAATAATAAATACGGATATACAAACTATTGACTGCACATCTTTCCCTTCTTTCGTATAAATAAATAAATGAACTCATAGACCTCTCAAACTTGGCCGTTCCATCGTGTCAGACTCCTCTAAATGCTGGGTGACTCTAAACCATTAAACGATTTTCCAAATGAGAAAAATTCCTGGGTAGGATTTTACAGGGAAAAGAAGACATGCCATAAAATTGGTATTTACAAGAATACAATGCAACTCCACCGTCGTAATAATAAGTAATATTCGGTCCAAATTGAACCATAAGAAGAATATCTGGCAGAAGAACGAGTAGAGTGAGCACAACGTAAATACGGACGGAGGAGTCGGTTTAAAGGAGAATCTTTAAGGAAAAGCAAGGGCAGGAGTAAAGACATTGAAGAAGAAGTGCATCCACATCCACAACGTCAAATTCAATACAAACCGAGAACGAAGAATGAACGCTGCCTGGTGCTTTTTAGAATAGTCAAGTTTTTATCAACATGATGTACTCGTTCGTTCGTTGGTTGCAAGTTTCAAAAAAATTCACCCTGCCCGCTTATCCCATTCTTCAAGTAAGTAAGCGTTATTAAGAAGAAGAAGAAGACTCATCCTCTCCTGCATCCACGGCATCCACGGGAAGAAATGCATGCATACAAGATTTCAGAAGAAGACTACGACGGTTCTTGCGGCCGTGTAAATGGTGCTGGTGGTGGTAAAAGGGATGGAATAATAAGACTGTCTTAAAACATGCGATGGTCGTATTGTGGATGTATGTTGTCATGTCGAATATGCACTGTTTGGTGTGGCAGGCAGTGTCTGTACACATTCCACAAGAGGAATCAGGGGTGAGCAAAATACTTTGGCAAAATGTATAATATTTTGAGCTCCGTTCTTCCCAGGGTTGGATTTCCGGGGTGTTACACCCACCAAAAGATGAGAATCTTCATGGAGAAGACAGCAGTCATACGAAAATGCAAGTTTTGTGAAGAAATTGTCATTTTATAGATGGAAAAACACTTTATTAAATGTATTTTCATATGCCTGTTGTATCTCTATGCAAGTTTTCGTTATTTTGTGGGTGTAACACCCCTGGAAATCCAAACTGGGAACATCGGAGCCCAAAATACTGTATTTTGACCAAGTATCTTGCCCATCCCTGCTGAACAGTTCATCCGTCCATACGTCTCATCTAGTCTCATGTGTAGTTGGGGGTGGTTCCTCTTCTCAAGACCGATTCACAACCCACCCCCAAACAATAATAATAATAATAATACTGCACCGATGGCTATACACGAATTGCAGCATAGCTCGTGGTGGTGGTGGTGAGATTAGCATTATTTCTCATTATTGGAGGAGATACCATGAAATTGTGGCCGTGATGAATTTAACTGAACTGATAATGAGATTTAACAAAGTGTTGTTGTGAAGTTCATCCATCCATCCAAATAAAAATAATAATAACAACAACAAAACTTTACCCTTTGCAACATTTTATTTTTTAGTGCAAGCAATGCAACGCTATGCAATGCGGAGAGAGAAGAGATTCTCGATTTTATTGTGATATTGGATTTGGGATTCTGAATTCCATCCGATTTCGTATTATCTTTTCTTCGCCTTTATTTTTTGGCTCCATCCATCCATCCATCCATCCTTTTAACTCCACCACCAATAAGACCACTCTGCCATTATCTATCAACTGGTCCATTATGCTTTATATTTTTTCTCTCTCTTCGGGAATAAACACCTTTCAAGAATTTACAGAGATTGTGATGCTGTTGGTGGTGGTGGCCGAGAGTTAATAAATATTATGGTGAGAATATAATACGAGATGGTCTTTTTCTTCGTCTTGTTACGTGTATCCAATAAACTTTGAAGTCGTCGTTTCGTCGTTGTTGTTGTTGTTTTTCATTGTTCCTTCTTTCGTCTTCTTCCTTGCATTGCACTGCCACGAACGAACTCTATCTAAATCCATCCGTCCAAGAAAAAGAGGAAAAAAAGAGGAGATACGAAGGAGAAATGCACAATGATGCAAACTACAATCTCATCAGGAGAGAGTATTATTAAGTATTTTCCTTGTTTTTACATTAACTTGTTCTTCTCATCAGGGAGGAAAACAAAGGAAAATGCATCACTTTTTTCACTCCACTCCACCAACATGAGCACGATTTGACTCTATTTCTTGCAAAAAAAAGAGAATAAACTGCCCACCAGGCTGGACCTTACGTATGAAATTCTTCTCCTACCAGCACATTAAACACTCAATCTCTCTCTCTCTCTCAGGGTTTATATTTCCTTTGCGAGTAAAGTGCTCCGATTGTGAAATGCATTTTGTTTATCGGACCGAGTTTCATTTTCATTTCCATTATTCCTCCACTTGCGACCCCGTTTTTGATAAGACGATTTTAAGTATTTCCTTATTTCCCAGTATTATCAGCAAAGTAAGTATTCCGTATAAAATAAGTTAGTCAGAGCTGACTATTCAGAGAGAGTAATTTGATTTTAGCCATAATAATACGTATCGCCTTTGTCCATTATGCCCATTAGTCGCTGCCGGTTTCCATTAAAAAGTGGAATGCGAGTTTATTTAAAAAAGGATTCTGCCGTCTTGCTGCATAGTCGGTGGTGGTCCAATGGCCGCGGAAACAGAGGACAATGTCCCCACGGTTGTCCAAGTCCCTATAATCTGCCCAAACCCCACCCTCTCCTATCCTACAAAGCTAATGTCCCCACGCCTTCCGCGGCCCCTGGGTGGTATCCAGAGCCAAGTGGTGGACGAGAAAAAAGCGCTGGCCATTGTTGAGTGTCCATATCTCTTGAAAAAGGAGAGAGAATTGAGAAAAAGAATTCGGAAAGTGAACAGGGTGGACGTGTTCCTTTGGTTTTTGGTCTTGATCTCCATTTTCTCAGGACTTGGTTGCCCTAATAAATCCCAATAACCTATTTATACGCGTTCCACCCCATTCCTTTGCGCTCTCTCTCTCTCCTTGATAAACTTGATCCAAAAAGTTTGTTAAATTTAAGAGGGCAAGCGAAACCCATGTGGATGCATGGATCAGATGCATGAGGATGTTAACTTATCCGTAATGTATGACGGTGTGGGAGTGGAATGCGGTACATACATAAAGTAAAGTGCTCTGGAGAGAGCATTGTTCTCCAATATTGCGCAATGCCATGCCCCAACCCCATCTCCGTCGTCGTCTTAATTCTGATTTCCACCAACCAACCAACTAAACTGCCCCATTTCTTGAGCAAGTCTTTGTCTCAGGGCATTATTATTAAGTGAGGAGTGCATGAGATGAGATGAGAGGGCGAGCAGTTCATGGCGTTGGTTGGTTGGTGACATGGGAATAAATGAGAAAGAGAGGACGACGACTGTACATATATTCATAAGAATTAAGCGAGTACAACGAGGCGGAGGACGACTCATTGTCAGTCAGTTTCCCTAATCCACGACTCTCTCTCTGAAATGAAATGAAGAACTTGCTTAGCTCTGATTGTCGAGTTGCCTTTTCGACTACTGCACTCCACTCCCATGCGACACGGGTTTGTGTTAAATAAGAAGAACATGATGTGATCCAGCTCCCTCACTTGCTTCAAGTCGTCGGGAGTAGTTGAAACAATTTATATTTTTCGAC